GAAAGACATTTGTTATTCAATCAACTAAACTTTGAAGATTAACTTGCCCTAAAGTTGTTTGTATGTTCATAGTATTTTCTGAAGCGAGATGGTTTTGGCGTTTTTGCCTCTGTAATGTAAACATCAATATCATGAAGTGTCTTTCTGGAAAGTTATGATAGTCTGACGGCTTCAACAGCTCAGCCAGCCGAAGGAGGTGTTCCAATGCACAATTTGTAAACAATTTAACACAGAGTAGTATGGCATTGGGACATCTCCATGACTGGGGACAGACCTCCTGTGGTGTTTGTTTATGGAAGAAAAGTTAGAATCTTCCATCTCAGAAGAAAGTAGAATTTCTGACAGAATTTGCCTCACCAAAAAGAATAATCCGAGGAGGATATTGTTCAATTCTGAGATGGAGGATTCTACAATGTGCTGAGATTTAGAACTATATAAATAGAAAGGGAAAAGGTGATTTAACAGAATTTTAGAAAAACTATTGAAGAATGAAGTCATGAAGTGGTTATAAAATATTAAAGAGAAATTGTGAAATTATAGAAAATTGAAAATAAGAATTTTAGACTGAAATAATAAAGAAGGAAAGACAATAAAATAATTTAGGCTTATGTTGAGGAAGTTTCGTAATATAATAGAGAAGGGTCAAGACGGACACACTGATGAAACAACTTTCGTAACGCAGGGTGATATCCAGGAAATTCAGATTATTCAAGTGCCTTAACGGCCAGTACATCGATTTACTTGAAGACGCCTTTTGTTATTCTAGCCATATACCAGATAAACAAAAATACCACTCTATTAAGAAAGCGATGTATCAGCTAGATGCAAACCTTAAATCATAGGTTATCTCAGAAAACATAGAAATATAATGTATCTGATCTGTAAAAATCTGAATGAAATAGTTAAATAACTAGAATAAATAGATAAATACGTACATAAATAAATAAATAAAAATGAAATCAATTAATCATTAAATAAATAAAGGTAAATTTTGAATCCCTTTAAGGGCCCCATCAATCGTGTATTCATGTTATATTCTCCGAACTACCCATTTTCGTTATAGAGACACAATTTAATACAAATAAAAATTGAATGCATTTATTTACTAAGAGTTCAAAGAATTAAAAGAGTGCCATTGAAAATTAAAAGTAAAGGGGACCTTAAAAAGCACTGAACAAACCTCCTCGTCAAATAAACCGTTTATGACATGCTATGTGCCAAAGCTTTTACATGAAGGTCGTTGACAAAGACGTTTTAAAGTGAATGTAGATGTGGATTATCTGTCGAAGGAAATAGACTGCGGAATAACTGGTATGTTGAATAAATTCAGACTTTTTAATTTATCGCATCAGTTCTGCTTTTAGGAACAATTCAGTTGTATATCTAAATATTTTTAACATTTTCTTTCCTAGTAAACTATAAATTGTGAATGGACACAGTTAATGTTTATTGTCATATAGTTTAGTAAAATCCCATTTGCTTACTTGATTTACATCATATTGTAATTCATGGAATCCGAGCCATGACGTATGTCTTTGCTTGAATAAGTTGATACACGTCATTGATTATTGCCTCAACAATCTTGTGTATATATTTATTTCTATACATTTTAAAATAACGATAATTTGATTTATTAGAGACGTTAAGCTACACGTCCAAATGCAAATCGTCTGAAACCATGTCAGTGGACGTGGAGCTATATTTATGTGGTGACTGTTTCTAAGGATCATGGTTCTATGGTGTAACGGTTAGCACTTAGGACTCGTGGTCGTAATGCCTGGTTTTAAATCTAGTCGCATAAGTACCTTTTCGTTTTTTATTTTTGCTTTATTTCATATTCAACCACAATTCAATTACTTTATAGTATCGCTTTTTGCTCATATCAAGGGCGGAAGTAATACAAAGGAAATGTCTCGTTCGCAAATCAAATGTAGTGATAAGACAATAGTAGGCCCTGGTTGTCATTTCATTTCGTTTAGTATACATTTTGTATTAAGCCCCGGGTATTAAATTAGCCCTGCCTATTTATATTGTACGGAATGAAACGAAACGATCACATTTGAAGTTGTCATTCACCCATTAAATGTATTCTCATTTCCAATTAAGGATTGGGGTTTACCAATATAACAAGCAAGATTATCTGTATCAAATATGGGCTCCTGGGCCATCCTGGAACAAAGCTAAAATCAATCACGTAATGAGCGACGTGTAATCACTCATCTACACGTAAAAACCTTTAACTTTCACGCTTACCTGTAGAGAGTAGACTAATCTGACGTCATTTTCCCGCGCGCGCATAGAAGTACACGTTCATGCTTTGTTGAATACGCGTCTGTAAATTGAACCAATATGACAATCTCATGTAAAATCCTGTAAACTTCACGCTGGCCCACAGAAAATAAACAAATTTGACGTCATTTATCTGCGCGTGTATTGAAGTTCACATTCAAGTTTTGTTAAATACGTGTTGCTTAACCTCTTTATTGATTGAACAACTCACTTTGGTATATGGTAGTTCAGAGAACACGTGATGGGGATCCCAAAGGGTGGAAACGACATGCACAATTTACCTGCTTTTATAATATAGAAATTCAGAATAGGGTTTTCAAATTAGTGATTTGTTTGCTGCTACATTCTTCTGAGGGTTACTCGGTACGATACAAGAATATGCAAGGGCGTCTTCAATACCCGGGAGTGAGTCCCAACTGAGTTTGATTGCTGGAGTAGCCTCATAATCCCATCGAACGAAGTTCGGGAGGGGGTAGAGAACGGCTCCGTCCGTACGCACGTCCGTCCGTCTGTACATTCGTCTGTACGTCCGCAAGTCGTCCTACCGCACGTCCGCCCCTCCGTCCGTCCTGGTAATAAGTGAAAAACCATTGGACCAATGTCGTTTTTATCGTATGTGTATGTGACCCATGAGCGTACAAGTTCTGCTCGAAAGACGAGTTTCAAAATGGCCAAAAGTTTCAAAATGGTTGCCATTTTTAGTGTTAATTTTGAAGTATTTTGAAACCAATATTAATATGTCTAAATGCAAAAAATATAGAGATACTGAATAAGTTGAAAAATTTAAGATTTAAAATATGAGATGTTGGCAATCTCGAAAAATGGCAAGTAGGCGCCCATTTGAATTTTTTACTTTCAAATGACCTCAAAATGATTTTTTAAACAATTTTTAGCCCTTCGCCCTTTTGATCATGTAGAAATCTCAGGGTTTGTAGGGGTTTTGATATATGCAGTACCTATTGCGATTATACCTTTTCTTACGTTTTTTCACAGAACGGATTTACTTGTTACGCGTGTTTTACATTTTTAGTATAACTCGAAAAGTGGTGAAGCGTTTTTTTTCAAATTTTATATGTGTATACTAAGAAGCATATTACCCTTTTTTGACAATTTGGCAAATAGTTGGCCATTTCATGTGTGTTATTTTAAGAGTTTTGCCAGAATTGAAAAAGTAGTGGATGGATTTTGTAAAAAGGGCAGCCATGGTTGTTTGCTGGGATTTTCGCCTTGGCGTTGCTGTTATCTAGTTAAACGCATTATTTTACTGTTCATTACTTTAACCTACAACCCATTTGTATGAAATGAAAATTATAGTTCAGTTTTCAATGTAAAGTCTAATATGTTGATTCCATATATATATTACACAGATAACGACAGACGGCGAGCTCATCTTCCAAAAGTTAGGGCATATGCGATTACATCAGAGCCCCTGATTACCTAGACTAATTAACAAACAAGGAGTGATGCAAAAATGTCAAGGTGAACAAAAACCTGAAGTCCAAACAAAAATCGGTGCTTAAACAACAATGACAGTCCCTAGTGAAGAAAGTCCTGAAACAACCATCGACTTGTAGTGACACATCTGACTTAAATGGTGACTCGATAGGCTGACATGGCGGGTGTACCAACAAATAACGATGATATGCAGACAAAACTAGGAGGGCGTGAAGAGGAAGAGTCTAGTCAAGGAACACTTGAAAGTTCTGGTAATTTACACAATACATATAATTTACACGATACATATAATTAATTAAATGTTAAATACATTTTTTGTTATTTTCACATTTCTATAAATACTTAGTAGGCATAAAACAAATATGACTTGCAATTGGCAATCATATTCCATTTATGTAGATGATTATGCACAGGGTGAGTCGAAAATGGGACTATCTATATTCTACTTAAAACAGTGTGTAATCCAATCGCTATGAACATTTACGATTATAAAACATTATTGATTTGAGTACTATTATGTATTTAATTGCATGTGAAACGATGCATGTTTTCACGTCCCATTTCTTTTGACCTACAATGAATTACGAAAGATTCATTCTATTTAATAAAGGTGCTCGGATAGACAATGTTGCAGACGATAGAGTAGATAGCCCTCATACAGAAACAGAAATAAGCAGTATCAGTAAAGAAAAAGGAATGAAGGCACAAGGCTTGGCATCTGAATCTGGTGAGCACACTGGTGTCACAAATCTTAATATAAACGTGATTTGTCCTAAAATCTAACCGAATGTGCAGAGCTTCGTGATTTGTATTGTTCCAAAATTTTACACGTTTGGGTTGTATCTTTCCCTTTTCAGATATTCTTGATGAAAAGTATTTATTAAGGATTGCACGGGGAATAGAGGCAGACTTGGCCCTTGACCTAGGCATATTACTTGACCTCAAATCTTCAGATGTTGAAGCTATTAAAACAAGCAACCAACACAATTCTCGGAACTGGGTATTCCATATATTAAACAAGTGGAGGCAAGGACTGAGGAGAGATGCTGACAAAATAAGAATCCTTACAGACGCACTCGAAGAGATCGGAAAAGTGGACCTTGCAAATAAAGTCAGAGCAGAAAAACAGCAATCGCTAGGTACTGTAAAGACACAAAATATGACCTTTAATGAGTACTTACATGTCTAAACATGTTTGTCATGTTATTGTTCTAGTTCATATATATATGTATATTATATGTTATAGGACTATCCATCTAGGGACAATTGTGAAAAGTAATCCCTGCATTTCCAATTCCACATGAAAGTGTTTAAAAATCAGTGTTATATTAGAGAGGACCGTCAAATAAATAGTATTGATCTTTTGCCCGATCTGATTATATAAACATACTAAATATTAAATCCAGCGTTCTACATAAGGATTATGTACTGGGAGGTTTTGGATATGGGGTTTATCCAGAGGGATATATATCGACCTGAGGGACCGAAGGTAGATGTGCATATCTCACGAGGGATAAACCCATATCCAAACCGATCGTACATTACTGCTTTTTTCCTATAACCAGTGGATTTTTTTCACATTTGAAAGATATGCCCAGGAGCGGGACATAAGGAAGTTTTGGATATGTATACCTCAAATCAGGATACGGGATATATCTTATCAACTTATCTCCCTAAAAGTCTACTTGGTATAGGATAGAAAATATTTTAGCTGATGGTTTCCTATGAGATTTTTAATTTTCTTTTCTAATAGGTAACTTAATTTCAAAACTAAACTTGTGTCCCTTAAAACATGTTGATAAACCTTATGCATCTTGTTTTAAGTTGTGTTGCTTTTTAAATACCATATACATTATTTCATAGAGGCAGATACGTAAAATATGAAATACATGCTCATAGTTTTAATTTCGATTATTTACAGAATCTCGACACCCTACGACCAGCATACCCTCATCCATAGAATCATTTACACAGGAACGATGCGACTTCATGAAAATCGGATACACGTGTACAATGTTGGGCCAAGATATGAAGTTTACAATTCCAAAAAACGATATAGGTATTCTTTCATCTCAGAATGGAGATTGTTTTTGTTATTTGTAACAGTTTCTACTTTGTGGGCTAGCATTAATATGCGATTAAAATCCATCAATTAATTTATATATTCTTTAGACTACACGACAAGTACTAAAAGTAAAGTCAAAGGAGGTCAAATTAAAGACTGATTGATTTTCGTCAAGTTAATATGATGTCCAAAGTCATACTTAAAACGTTTCTCAACTCTTCAAAATATAACTCGCGAAATTTTTTCCCTTGAAAATCGAAAAATATCAAAATATGCCATTTTCCCTAGAAGCACTGCTTGATCAATTTTGTAAGTAGCATAGATAAATTGTGTCATTTTTTAGTTTAGTTTTAGTTTATTATTTCAATTCGAATAAATCATACATCAAAATAAATGAAGGTCCCTTTATGGGAGTTTTATCCACATTAATAACATAAGAAAATGAATGAAATAACAAAATGTCAACATCACTGCATCCTATCTCTACCTTAGTATCCCCCCTCCACAACCACATGTACAGAGCCTTAAGAAAATATAGTCGAGTACAGTAATGCGTCTCAGAATAATTAAATATTATGGGTCAGTTTCAGACCATCTTTATTGGCCATTCTGACCATCGTTTTTCTCAAATTAAATCATGAATTCCATATTTCAAACAAACGCACGGACAGAAGGACGAGCGCACAAACAGATGGTTGGACGGACAAACGGACAGACAGACAGACAGATGCGCTTTGGCTGGCAACAAGGCCTCATACTTAGTGGTGCAAACATAAACGAAAACCACAGTACATAAGTGTACTATTATTGAAAGAACGACCCAACAATTTAAAGCGAATCCATTATTGAATATTTTGTCATGACATATTGTGGCTATAACATTTCTGTTGCATCATTCAGAAACTCTACGAATTGTGCTGACAACTATAGAAAAGATGCGCTTAAACGATGCACAAGTTTTACAACAGCAACAAGCTACAGGCAGGGGCTTCGCAAAGTTTTCGCACAATATATATGGGGCTTTATCGGAGCTTCATAAAAGACAAACAGTACAGAGAAGAATGAGACGCCGGTATGGAGTTGACTTTCTTGACTTCTACTTTGGATCTATAGTACTTCAGTTGAAGATCGTGGATCGAAGACTAGCCGCGAAATTGATTGAGGATTTCCACAGTGGGAAGTTAACTTTGGAACTTGTAACAGAGTTAATTCCAGAAGAAATTAGGATGAAATATAACGGGTCTTACGTTCAAGTGACGCTAACAATAGATGGCGAATTAGTGCAACAGTGTCTGTCACAGGATCAGGGTAAGCTCGAAGTTATCTGTGATGACTGATTTGAATGTAAGCGTATGCATGAAACACAATGGATGTTTATTTCTAATAATATGTCTCTCACGAAAATCATATATTGCATGAAACGAACAAACTCTACCGATCAATATATTAGGGAATGCCAGGTTTTTCAATAAACTGACTACTCTAACGATTATTGCAGCGGTACAGGACCAATATGGTGGAGCATTAGCATCTACGATCGATCAAAAATTGACTTGTATTAGTACTAATCTGGAAAAACTAGGCCTATCGAAAGTTCAGAAAAAAGGGCAGCTTGAGGAGACAGGAGAGAAAGATGGCACGACTAAAGATGTAGCAGTAAGAGAGGCAACTGATGTAGAAATATCTGGTGAGTTACCGAATATATTTTTGTATACAGGCCATCGTAAGTATAGCAATTGTTGACACGTTTACTTCGTTTCCCCATTCTTTGTATGCCATTCATTCGCACTTCTGGAGTGTTTTACTTGATATGCATAGATAGTTACAGAAACATTATGATGCAAATCTTAAGTACTTGAACTAGCCGTGAACTAACACCTCGCACGTTTTTACGAATAGCGGAATGCTCTAAGAATATTGTTATAGGAATATTGAACTTTGTGGAGCTATAGACCGTTGTTTATTGAATCTAATTCGTTGATGATTGGCTAAATCAATTTTTAATTAATTAATTTTGAGAGAGAAACGATCATTCTTGCATTAATATTGGACAGTTCAATCATAAAAATCAGAGGTACAGTGTTGATTTGATAAGTCGTATACAGAGTGTTTCAAAAAATGTTACAAGTACAGAATGGTCAATATCTTTCAATTTTTGGGTATTTACCCTAAAACACAATTGAATACTTAAAGAGCAATCTCTCTTGATTGCTTTGATACCAGCAGATTTAAAATCCATCTATGGTTGACTAGACAGGACAGATTTTATGAACTCAGGTGAAATTTGACTTGCGCCAACTTCTCAGTGGTTGAACATGTCATGCTTTTCCGGGACCTTATTCCAAGACTCTAACACCAGCAGAATGGTTATTTTCGGAATGGGTAGTGACAAAAAAGTCCAGATGGACCAGAGCATGGCCTTTCTGAAGAAGACATGATGTTTGTCGCAAGGCGTGAAAGAGCGTGAGAGAGTGACAAAGCCTAACAAAGCGTTTCAATCCTTGATTAAAGCGTCTCAATTCGTTGGAAAGCTTGAGAGTCCTTTATGAAAGCGTAACAAAGAGTGTCAGATATTGATGATCAGCGTCTGACCTCGTGTCAGATCTTTGAACCAAGCTGTGTTAAGCTTTCGTACGCTTTGGGGTCAAGCTTTGCTGAGCTTTGTTACGGTTTGTTTAGCTTTGATACGCTCTCGTCGCTTTAATCAATTCGTAACAGAGCGCCCAAAATTTTTAAACAGCTTAAAATTTTTTGGCGCTCTTTCTGAATATCCCGCTTAACTCCGAGCTTTTCTACGACCTATTACGACCCCAACGCTTTAATCAAGCTTTGTTACGCTTTGGTGCCGCTTTACAAGCCGCTTTAAAGCGCAATCAAAGCGCTGTTGGTGTGAACGTAGCTTTAGCGTTCGATTTTTCCATCTCAACATCCACCCTGCTATAGCATGACGGTTACGCCACCTCTGAAAACGAGGTTGGACGGCTACGTTCACTGATTTATCCAATAAAATGGCAGCGATGGAACAGAAAACTAAGTTTGGTGCATTATTTTCTATAACTGTGTATCAATGAAAGGATGAACGATTTATGTAAGCATCGCAATCGGTGATACATTTAGCAATGTATATTTTGAACGTAGTCTTTGCAAATTGATGCCCGGGGATAACATGAAATAAGCGAAAAAATGTTGAGTTTGAAATTCAAAACTACACAAAATTTAGTAATTTGTTTATTTTTGTCGTTGGGGCATGGTCTACATTGCCTAACGACCTCGGGGTATATAGGTGTAACCTACATACGATCATAAAAAAGCCAATTGAGCATTGGAAACCACCTAATATGTTCTACTCAAGCCATTTTAATCTATTTTGAATTTGCCGTTACTCAAAATATTGATGGACGGTTACGCGAACCTCGTTCAAATACAGTATGTATCTCCGATTCATTGTTATTAATTTTGTCATATTCATCAGTACTTAATGCTAATTCTTCTTTTGCCTCTCCATTACTATCTTTTTGACTTTCATTGGTTTCATAAATAAAGCAAGACACAATTTTTTCCTTGCCCTATAGAGGCTCAAACAAGAGCGTCTCTTGCGAGTCCTGAAAAAAAATATAAGCAATTCAATATTCCATTTCTTACCCATTATAACAATAACATGGAAAGGGGCTATCAGATCTAGCAACCTTGACTTGAAAGGTGTACATGCACGTAACCGTCCGCTAAATATCTAATGTACTACCAATACAATACGTTACCGTCCATAGAATTCATACGTAGTCGTCTAACGACATTGCGTTCGAAACCTTCAAGCTGTCTTTAATAAATGCAGTACTCACTGAGTTTATAATGCTGTTCTTGAGGGATGTTTTGCTAGATGTATCATCTAGTTAACAGATGCGCGCCAGATGTAAAGCGCGGGATATAACACGAGATATTTCGATTTAGATTCCAAATTCAAGATAGATTGTCATATCATGAAACCAAAATTATTAGAAAAATAATATTATTGAAATGTATTTACGACTCCAAGGTTTGTCATTAGAAAGAAACAATAGAATATCACATGGTGGAGCTGCCGGGTAGTTTGTCGTTAGAAAGAAACAATATAATATCAAAATACCATAGTGTCATTTTCTTCAGAAGAAGATTTTAAACAATACATATGACATCTTTCAAACCAGTTGAATGCTTGAATATATTAACAAATATGAAAGTATCAACACTTGCAAAAAGGGAATGTCCCATTATATGTTAAAAACATTTCCGGGCATTCCTGAACGTTTTCGTGTGGATCATAATTCACCCACTTCATAGCCTGTTTAAAATATATTTTAGACGGAATGGAATATTTAAAGAATAAATTTGGTGTGACTGCCGTTACCGATGAAACTTTTTCAAGTTATAAAATGAGCCGATGTGAATGTATAAAATAATATAATATTATATAATTACGTGTGCAAGTAGAACGAATCACACTGAACTTTATATCAGTGCTTCTTAAGTACTGATTCTTACTTAAAAATATATGTGTTGTTTCAAAAATATTGAGTTTTATCCCATGACAAGTGAGGTCCCTCGGTAAGATATCAATATTTCCCTCGGGATATACCCCATATCCAATACCTCCCATAACATAACCCTCATATAGAGTAGTAACACGCAGAGGATATCTCATCCACATTTACAAGTATTTAAAAAAATACTGAGTCATAGAGTAAAATGATGAAACAATTCATATAGGGACAATAAAGAGCTTTCCATTTGTGTTAAACATCTTCAACAGTTTACAACTGGAAATGAGAATTGGAAATATTTCCTTATTAACCATCAAATGATTATACTCAATTTACTTTCTAATGGCTGATATGTAAGACTTGGGCAAAATGAGAAACAGCTAGATGTTCACATATATTTTATAACAATGCTCAATTCAAAGTGTCCTGTTTTCAACATGTCTTTCAAAATTTAAACATGACATCATCTCGAGGTTTACATTAATGCATGGTATAAATCGACTTAGGTTACATAGTGGTACAATAGAAAGGCTTTAATATTTATCTTTTCCAGTTTCTCAATCCCATGCATTCTACTATACACCTCGATCCATTTTAGATATGAATATTCAGCCCGGTCCAACTACAAGCCCAGATGAAGATCCATCCGAGAAAGAAAAAGAAATGATGGCATTGTACGATAAGGAAAAACAATTGGTTGAGGATGAGTATTCATCACCATTGAAACAAACACTGCAGGGAAGCCATGAGTCTGCTGGCGCAACAACAAGCGTGTACGATGTTGGACCAGGCGGAAGTACACCTTATACAAAATTGTATGAAAAAAAGCTGACTGACCCATGGACAGAAACTAAACACTCAGATGAATATCTAGGTAAATATAGTGATCCAAAAAATGTTTATAACCCAGCCATTCAGCATTGGTTTAAACTCATATTATCAAAAATTTGTTCAACGTCCTCTTTTTAGTTTTATTGGCCATGGTCTATTTCAAATGACCACGCCAGTCTCGTCTCTGGTGGATAAATGGAACGCATTGGGTGAACTTGTTCTGATTACACGCTAAATGCATAGATATCTTGGGTAATAGATCCTTCTTATCTCTTGTTTCAACTCTCTGATGCTTCTACAGGGACTTAGCTAGAATTTACTAAGGGGGTTATATTTTTCTTCCATGGGGGGTTTGTTCTATAACGAAATGGGGGGGGGGCTTAGTTCAACGGAAACCGTTAAAATGAACCAATCATTGGTGATTTATCAAATAGCTAGTCAAACAGGCGATTCAATGTGTGCACACAAATAATCATCTTTCTGAGATTGGGGTTCGCTCCCATCCTGGATCGAGCTTGTTGATTTTTCAGAAAAGGGGGTTGAGCCTGACCAAGGTTCTCTTTATAACGAAAGAGGGTTAGAGGCGAAGTTGGGGGGGGGGGTTCTCCCGAGCACACGAACCCCTCTTGCTACGCCTATTGGTAGTTTAGAGTTGCAAGTGCGGACAATATCTTTGAAAATGGCTACAAAGATAAAAGTTTGGGGAATCATATCGGGCGTGTCTCTTATTTTGATGAGCATGATTTGTAAAATGGCCATGAAACTGTGACTATCAGAAATAGACCAATGAAACTTATATAGAATGAAAGAACATTTAACAAGATTAAATTGTGCCGGATATGAATTGAAGCCTATGCTCGAAGACAGGGTCATTAATATTAATATTTGTTTGGGTTTCCTTTTTGTCTTACCCTGTAGTTAATCCATAAATTGGCTATGGAATACCCATAAAGCTATGGTTCCAGTCATTTGTCCAGCTATGTGGCATCATTATATGTACCAAGTAGAACACGCCAATTACAGTTCTTCTATTTTCAAAATTAAATGGTTATTAACTAAAAAGAAAGCAAACAAGTACACACGCGTCATATACTTCACAGGGAGCAGTACCTGTTCCAGTGTAAATGAGAATCACAGTCTCACCGGTTATGAAAGAAAGGTTACGGTCATTTTAAAATTGGAATATAAAGATATATACAGAGTGTTACAGAACTCATGGGATTTTTTTCTCAAACTACTGTAACAACTTTTTACTTTTCAGATTTTCGATTCTTTGTAGTCCAGTGCCATTGTATCAGTTTTCTTAGTTAAAACAGTGAGAAAGTGTTTTCCAGTTTGGTTGATAAGTAGTATACTTACATGAATGTATGTAATACTAAAGGAGTAGGCAGAATCATGTAAACTGCTCATTTTTGTGAGATTTCTTTTTGCTTTCGTTTGTTTACATTTTTCTCATCTTACTATTGAAGAGCTATCTTGACCTACATTCAATTACTAGTTTTTTGGTCAATCTCGGCATGATTATAACCAATGATGATTGGTTTATGTTATATTTATTTAGTTTATACATTTATCTAGTTAATTATGTACTAAACATGTATTAATGTTACATTAGATAGCACAGATTGTGAGTTCTAAATGAAGCCAGTTATTTTGCACTATTCATATCCTGAGGATTTTACCCAGAGGTACTTAGAGGATCTTTGGACAGATTCAACACACCTGTCGAGAGACTGAGTGGATTTTAAGGTAGAGGAATACTTAGAGGATATTACCCAGGGGAATTTAGAGGATATTCGCATATATTGAGGGACTTAGCCAATATTCACCATAGTTGCCTGGAGTTTAATACCCAGAGGAACTTAAGGAATATTCGCATATATTGAGGGACTTAGCCAATATTCACCATAGTTGCCTGGAGTTTAATGCCCCGAGGAACTTAAGGAATATTCGCATATATTGAGGGACTTAGCCAATATTCACCATAGTTGCCTGAAGTTTAATGCCCAGAGGAACTTAAGGAATATTCGCATATATTGAGGGACTTAGCCAATATTCACCATAGTTGCCTGGAGTTTAATGCCCAGAGGAACTTTATTCGCATATATTGAGGGACTTAGCCAATATTCACCATAGTTGCCTGGAGTTTAATGCCCAGAGGAACTTAAGGAATATTCACGCATATATTGAGGAACTTAGCCAATATTCACCATAGTTGCCTGGAGTTTAATGCCCAGAGAAACTTAAGGAATATTCACGCATATATTGAGGGACTTAGCCAATATTCACCATAGTTGCCTGGAGTTTAATGCCAGAGAAACTTAAGGAATATTCACGCATATATTAAGGGACTTAGCCAATATTCACCATAGTTGCCTGGAGTTTGAGGCCCAGAGGAACTTAAGGAATATTCGCATATATTGAGGGACTTAGCCAATATTCACCATAGTTGCCTGGAGTTTAATGCCCAGAGAAACTTAAGGAATATTCACGCATATATTGAGGGACTTAGCCAATATTCACCATAGTTGCCTGGAGTTTAATGCCCAGAGAAACTTAAGGAATATTCACGTATATATTAAGGGACTTAGCCAATATTCACCATAGTTGCCTGGAGTTTGAGGCCCAGAGGAACTTTAGGAATATTCACGCATAGCTTGATGGACTTAGAATATTCATTGCTGGCAAGAGGAACTTTGTAGATTAGCTACATCTTTAACTTGGTGGACTTAGAATATTCATCGCTGGCTAGAGGAACTTTGTAGATTTCCTACATCTACAACTTGATGAACTTAGAATATTACCAGCTTGAGGGACTTAGAATATTCATAGCTGGCTAGAGAAACTTTGATTTCACACATCTACGAGATGTGATCAATAAGTAATGGACGCTTTTTTACACAGATACTTTATCCCTTTGATTTTCCTACCAGTGATACATCATTCAATTATCTATCAATTCTGAAGATTTGAAGACAAGATATATTATACATATTGATATATCCTTATTTCCGTGAAGGAGGTACAGGTACCTCGGGACCGACATTTACGTCACATATTCAGATTTTAGCCAGTTTGGTAAATTTCAGTTAGATTTGAACGTTTTATATGCAACAAGTGTTGTGTTGTTTAAAAAATTTTGCTGACTGGTAACACATAAACAGAAAGTATTGTAATGTCAGAGTGTTGTATGGAAGAGGTTTGCAGGTCAATTTGAGAAAGCATACAGTGGAAGAAAGGGGTGGTGAGAGAAGGGAACATCCTACTCCATATGGACAATGCACCTGCCCACAGATCTCAAAATGTTCAGAAAACAATATCCCTCGACCTCAAAATTGAGCCCTTGTCCAATGCACCATATTGTCCAGATCTGCTCACACGTGACTTGTTTATTTCTATACTACTTATTTCTATAGAGAAAGGACGCAGGTTTATTGACATTGATGAAATAAAACAACCCGTGCAACTGCATCTTGCTACCATGTCAGAGAATGGATTCAGCCTTGTCTCACAATCTTGAGTTAAGAGGATGAGGAATTGTGTACATGTAGCACTTGATGGAAACTATTTAGAGGGCCCTGTGGAATGAATGTGGCATGAATACCACATAGTGATGATAAAATATTCAAAACTATTAATATTATTACTGTGGCATAAAAAATGGGGTAATTCATGGCCATAATGGTTTGTTTTGTTCAGCCTGCATTCAACTGCATTGCATGTTAAACAATCTAAAATAGCTTCAGAATATGTGACGTAAATGTCGGTCCGGGGTACCTGTACCTCCTTCACGGAAATAAAGATATATCAACATGTAATATATATATATATATTGTCTTCAAATATTCAGAGTTGATAGATAATTGAATGAAGTATCACTTTTAAGAAAATCGAAGGGATTGGTATATAAAAAGCATCTGTGTAAAAAAGCGTCCATTACTTATTGATCACCCCTCGTATAACTTGAAGGACTTAGAATATTCGCCAGCTTGAGGGACTTAGAATATTCATCGCTGGCTAGAGGAACTTTGTAGATTTCACACATCTATAACTTGAGGGACTTAAGAGTATTCATCGCTGGCTAGAGGAACTTTGTAGATTTCCTACATCTTCAACTTGATGAACTTAGAATATTACCAGCTTGAGGGACTTGGAATATTCATCGCTGGCTAGAGGAACTTTGTAGATTTCCTACATCTACAACTTGATGAACTTAGAATATTACCAGCTTGAGGGACTTAGAATATTCATAGCTGGCTAGAGAAACTTTGATTTCACACATTAACAGGATCTTAAGAGGTTCTGGACAAATCATTTGATTCTGGACTTGTCATATTTTTTTTTCAACGAAATCACATCCAAGGGTTGAATTTTTATTAGCTATTTAGAGAGTGAGTCCTGCCTAGTATTAATTTCAATAAAAAAGTTAAAATAGAACCCTATTTGAGAGTCAATCTAATACTTACATTACATTGATAAATTAAGGCAAATCCTGAAATATTTTTAAAGTGCGTTTTTTAATGAAATATTATCCAGCAAGTATTTAAATGAAACGGTCTTATTTAAATACAAATCATAACATGATATTTTTCATGAAACATTTTTCAATGAAATTCAATTGAAGGGTCAAGATAAAACGAGCTAATTTAGGTGAAAACCCTTACATGATGATGTGTTTTCATAACTTCTTTCATAAAATTCCATCAAGGGGTGAAGATAAAATGATCGAATTTAAGTGATTTAAGGATCACGAGAATATGTTTTCTTTGATATTTTCTATGAAATCCCATCCAATGGTCAAGGTAAAATTTTGATTTTGATTTTGATTTGGTCACGTGT